TCAGCACCATGGACAGCGGCGCCACCCACCACGGGCGGCGGCTGCGCTCCAGGTGCGCCGAGGGCACGGCGGGATGCGGCGCTGCTGGGAGGCGCAGCTTCTGCTCTGTGCTCCGACCCATCCGATGGCACACTGCATGCCTTTGAAAACGTTGTGTAGTGCTCACGCTTCCGTTAAGAACGACAGAAACCGGGGAATAATGTGGTGATAGTGGTGGAAGATGTTGGATGTGTAAGTAGGACTTTTAGATGTTCGTTTATTAGAGCGTGTTCTCTCACTGATAAGTTTCTGAGGAGGGTATTGGGAGTTTCAACTAACCGTGCCGGTATCACCGGTGCAATCTGTGAGTGGGAATTTTGAATGAATCGAGGAAAAGTTAAGGCTCAGCCCAGGTACTCGTGCCCCTGGTGATTTTTATATTTTTTTTATTTTTTTATTTTTTGATTTTTTATTGCTTGCACTCCACTCTTGTGTTGATTTCCCTGGGCTGCAGTGCACGTAAATATTTGGCCTCGAAATAACTCAATGATGCACAAATAATGGACCAGAGGAATGATAGGAGAGATTGTATTTTAGGTGAATCATGGCTCATCCAAAAATTGTTTATAGACTGCCCTCTCTTACGGGATGTTATCTACCTGGCAATAAGTCAAGATGTTTATGTATCAACTGCTAGACTTACTGTCTTTTCTACAGGACAAATGAGTTTAAAGATTAGGGTTCACTTTGTGTCTCTTCATTAGCAATAAAAAAAATCTCACGTTTCAATGAAAAGTAGATCTCTCTGGTCCCAACTGGCGTGTGGTTACTAATAAACCTTCCCACAATCAGAGAAGAAAGTTAATAAGTAATGTAGTTTTACTTTTGGTGTCGACTACAGCTGACTAAATGGAGATTTATGTTCTTTACTCGTGCTTTTCTTTCATCTTCAGTCTCTTTACATCACACCTCAGTACTACTTTATAATTCATCACTACAGAATCAAAATCAAGAGTACGCTGAGTACTGTGATGAGTCAGGTCACCCTTGATCACAGTGCTCAACTGACTAGGAAAGAAGGTACAGGTCTATTAAGTGATAGTCTGATGCTGCAAAAGCAACAGAAGAAAAGCACAGCACTTCCCTCTGCCTTAGTTGCTTTGTAGCATGGAATCCATTTGAGTCTAAACAGTGATGGATCACCAAAATGCACTGTGCAAGCCTAGACTGAACCTGGCATGTGCATGGCTGTTGTATGTTGACCTCTACTGCATTGTGATCCTTTTTTTGTGGGCACTTGTTACCAGGAAGTAAAGGTTCCTCTCAGTCCTCTACAGAGCCACGTAAGCTGTAGGTGTTACCTTGCGCAATGTGAGCAACAGGTCTTCTGTTTAATAGATGCTTAAGTGTGAAGGTGTGGGCAGATATGCACCAATTAGATGTTATTTGGAGTTTTATTAGGCATAACTTAACGACGCAGGTAAAATTGATGTTTACGGATAATCACAGTGCTTTTCAATCACAAAAATCAAAACATGGAGTGTTAAATTAAATTGTTACTGTTAGCATACATTCTTAAAAACGTGGGTTGTTTTAAATGGTGCAGCTGCACGTTACATTCAGAAAATAAATGAACCTCAAATAAAAAAATAAAACAAATATGTTAATACAAAATGGATATTTACAGATAACGAAGTTCACCACTGTCCAAAGAACCTCCCAGTCAGGCTTCCCCATGCTAGACACTTACATGCCTGAGGCTGCTCCTAGGCAAGAAGGAACTTCTCACATTTGCAGCAGCAAGAATAATGTTTTCTTGTTAAAACTGTTATGAACTGGTTCATGGTGTAGAAATCAAAGCACAAAAACAAACAGGTATACCAGAGCTGATATCAGAACCTAGAACCTATTCTGCTTATAGAGTAATAAAAAAAGCAAAAGAATTTCAGTACTCATTTGGAGGCCGACTTGCTTATTGTGCATTGGTGCTAGAACAGCTTGTCTGCACTGCTCAAAAAATGATGCTGTTATGGGAAAAGAAAAAATAACCCTTTATTTGCTTGTATGTCTTTTGTTTCCTTTCCAGTGTGCTCCTTCCATAGCAATCAGCAGTACTGTTCCCATGGAGCAGATGACAGACACCTTTTCTCAACCAGGTGTCCAAACCAGAACTTTGAGTTTGTATGTGCAAACAAGGAGCAGCACCATGGGACTCTCTGCCCAGATGAGCTCCAGTAAACCAAGCTCAGACAGAAATCCCTACCACAAGATCTATACCTTCACGCTGAGCAAAACTCAGGAGCTCACAGCAAACAAAGAGGATACACTCAGGTGCATAATTCACTGAATTATGTTCCTACATCTACAAATTATTTGCTATGACAAGAGGGCCGGCCATCTTTGTACAAAATGCTCTAGAGGTACAAGAATTGTTTGGTTCCACTGAAACCCTACTTGGGATTGTATCAAAGATGTGACAGCTTTGTGCTGGTTCTTCGCAGAAGTTTTCACATGAAGTGATCTGAAAGATGTGGAAAGGAAATGTCAAGTGGAGAAGTATTTTCTCTCTTTAGAGAAAACAAAACCTGATTAAATGTTTGCTGACAAAACAAATAATGTATTTGCTACTGCTGTTCACTGATAGCATTTGAACACGACGGCAGCAGTATCCAGTAGCATTAAAATATATAGAACTTTCTCATGTAACTTTTACAGCTGCTTGGAAGACATGGTACGTACAGCTATGTTGAGTGTAATCCTCTGGTCACACTTCTATTAGCTATATGCTGTTCATTCCACATCACCACACAAAACAGGGTTTCTCATCACTTATTCAAGTCAAGGTCAGGCATTTTCTAGACAGTCACACACACCAATAAAAGCTCTGGTGACAAGCGTTTTCTTCAGTGCTACCTTTTAAAGTAAGGCAAGAGGAGATCAGCAGAAAAGAACTGCCTTGAGAAAGAAATTAGCTGTTTGTAGGACAGCTTTTTGTTTTTTTTTCTGCTTCCATTTGAATACAGAAAAGTGCTATAGAAACAGTGGTCTTGTCTGACCAGATTTATCAGCTGGCCACATTTTTACTGACTACAACAAAAGCCCAGAACAAATTACTGTATTTATTCCCTGTGTGGTGGTGGTATTTTTATTTCAGTGCAATACTGCCTACAATCAATGTTTTCAAATTAGCTATTGTGGGAGTCTGCCCTACGACTTCAAAGTAACTACAGAGAAATACAGTTATTTAAGTCTTTTGGGAAACCACTACATGGAGAATCCCAAATACTGCAATTCTAAGGCACGAGAGATAGTTTTATCCTTCAAAAATAAAATACCTAGTTGTCTATAGAAAAAAAAAAATATGCCCACTGGAAGGAAATGCCCATATGTGGTTATTTTTAAATTATCTAAGTGCTTCCTTATCTTACTGGGGCCATTCTGAAAGCCAGAATAATCAAACTGCTCCCTTCATTTCCAGAACTTAAGTATCAAAATACTATATAGCAGAAAACAAAGGTAATATGAAGCATTACCAGTGAACTTACTTCATGTCAGTTGACTTCATATAATTAGTAGTATTTAGAAAAAAAAAGTCCTGCACAGTGCTGGAGCACCTTCTTGTCAGAGGTTTTTAAAGCATCCTTAAGGCAGTCATAGTCTTAGCTATGGCTGCCTGTCACTGCTGCCTGATAAAGACACGGAGAGGTAAGAGATGGTGCTGAAGGTTATAGTTTCCAAACACTAACCACTATGTGATACTGCCTCCCCAAGCTAGGAGAAATGTAAACATTTCCCACAGGAAGCATGAAAGATACAATGGAAAGAGGAAGCAGACCTTACTCTGGGCTGAGGTTGACTTCAGGTAAATCTCTGTACGATCTCATAAATCAGGACAAAAAAGTAAACAAGTTGTTCCCTAGAAACAAAACCTCTGGTTTCACAAGTGCAAAATAGACGAAATGAAGCTGTACAAAGCACTTTTGAAGCCAGGAGTGGCTTCCTTCTATGAAAGCATCCAGTCTTCAGCTGGTGAAGGGGGAAGAAAATCAGTGAAAAGACTAGTGGGATGGTGCAGCTCAGGGGAATGCATCCTTTGCAGAAAAAGTGCTCTGAGTGTGCATTAACCACAGATGAGAAAATGTATGCCACAAACACAATAGGCCAGGGCATTGGCTGGTGGTGGCAATGTCACTATTCCAACTGCATCTCCAAATCTAGTTCTTGTTCCGTAGCTTAAGTTGGTGAGAAACAGGGCTCTAACTTCTTAAACTCCTTTTATCTGGTAGGTAAAAGACCTTTACATAGGTCTTTTACATACAAAACGTAACAGAGAGAACACTTTCAATCATAGCAGAGGAAAATCTCCTAAATTTGATGAATCACTTGCAGTTATGTAGCCTCCAGGCAATAGAAGCAAGTCTTATCTTTTTTTGAAGAGCCCTCAGAAAACGACAGCACCATGTGACTGTGAGTAGGTCAAGCTAATGTAACATACAAACAAAAATGCATGGGTTGCCTTAATCCAAGGCAATCTATGTAGCTAAGAGAGACCCAAATCACTCAGACACTGCTGATCCTCAGCCAGAGATTGATGTCATTTTTGTCATTTGTGAATGTCAGAGAGATGCTGTTTCCAAAGTGTATTCTCCAATCCCTTCCGCCTTGATGAATGTGGGAGCAATCATCAGTGCTGAAAGTAGTCGAGGCTGACAGTCATCAGTTAACAAGGAATAACTGATGATAGAAAAAACACGATGCAAGAAAAAAGCATGCTTCTCAACACAGGCACAAGAGAAGTATGTCCTGTCTGTACATTGGGCCTAGGGCAGATGTATGTCCCACTGTGATCTGGAGCCACATCTGTGAAAATCTGGGAGGGAATCATGAGCATGTGTGTAAAAGCAGCATTTAACAGAGCCCAGAAGGACTTCTTTCTGAGAGACAAGGTTGAACTTGTCTTGATCACAAGATGAAGTGTCTGTTTCCTACATCCCTCATGGCTGACCCTTGACACAGGTGCCTTATTCAGCCTGTTTAGGCACCCAGGTGAATCTCCATCCTCCATCATCTTCTCTGCGCACAAAAGCTTGTCCTTGTTGGAAGGTGTGTGTTCTCACATTGCGGTGAGGACTTAGAAATGTTGTGAAGGCCACTTCTGTTTTGTTAGGTGACAAATTGTTAGTCAAATATGGCAACTCATAGGCTGGAAGGGAGGAAATGCTTGGCTCCGGTGAGGTGTGTGGTGCTGAAGGAAACTGAGAAAGGAAGGAAGAGTCCTCACTGTATGGATGCGTACTGTCAGCTGGAGGCATGTGGCTGCAGCTGTATGCTGCTGCCACTGCTTCACTGTGGTCATAGTCGATGGCTTCACCAGGGCTAAGGCAGTATGTGTCTTTTCCAAGGTCCGAAGTCAAGGCACTGTAGTTAGCTGAAGATTCATCAATGGTGTTGACGTCTTTTAATCCTAAAGTCTCCAAGACCCAGCTGTCCACAGCAGGGCTGGCTTGCTCTTCACAGGCAGAGAATTCATTAAAGAGGTTCCTTCTAGCTTTAGAAGCATGAGGAGTTTCTTGAAGAGCAAAGCAGTAGTCCTCTTTTAATCTCTTTTTGGTGTTTTTGAGAATAGTAGAGGTCTTTTGGCTGTGGCAGGATAGCACTTTCTATTAAAAATAAATTGAAAGACGGAGAGAGGTTAAAAGCTGATTTTTCTAATTAGCAGTAAACAACATATTTCTGACCTTTAATGTTAGATAAATAAGACAGTTACCACTGTCTCTGTAAAAGATACTTTCTTCCACCCTTCCTCCTTAGACGCATGGATACGACTAATTATTTTGACCCTACAGCCTCTGCAACAACATAGTCTCTATAAGAGAAGAATTTGACAATGTCAATAAGGCCTGTACTTTGATTGCATTCTCACTCAGTAAGGCGTGAAATGAGAGCTCCTGCCTGGCTGTGCTTCTGTGTGCTGCATTTGGCAGGTGAGTGCTGGGGGGGAACATGGCAGCATGACAAAGAGGGAGGATGCTGAGGTAAGTCATGCTGGGGCAGGTGTGATCTTGGCCAGGGAGCTCGTGGAGCTGCAGCTGCCATGACTTTAAGAGTTTCTTTTCACAGGAAACTCTGGAATAGGTGTTCTTTGTTTTTTAAGAAGATCGGTGTTCTCACTCAAATAAAATGTACCACTGGAAGGTGACAGAAATGAATCATAGAACATAAATCATCTAAAATGTTAAAAAAAAAAAAAAGAAAAAGCTTTTCAGAAGGGGTAAATGACAAAGCAGGCAAATTCAAGGAATATTTTGATACATTCCAATTTGAACTTTTCACCGAAGAAACAGATTTGGGACATAACACTATTACTTTCCTCTACTTAGAACCTAAACTTAACCATGCTATGGGCTATATTGTCTGCACAGTTTGAACCTAATAGGATCTCACCAGGCAGGTTGTCTGCACTCCTAAACCTTCCATGTATTTGAATGGCATATATCTATTCAATTTGTTTCTCTTGCACACGACTTTACAACAGGTCTGAACAAAATACCTTGGCTTTTTCTTCTAAACATTTAACCAGGGCAGAATTCAGGTACTGTCGGAGGTTATTATTTTCTTCATGTAACCTAGCAAGTTCCTCTTCCTTCTGAAGCAAAGTGTCTTGAAGCTGTGGAACAGAGATACTGATGAATAGGTGTTGACTCTGTAACCTAATAGCAATTGCCCTACGGTACAGGCTGCTTGGATTTGATGAACAGGGTGTTTGCTTTGTGAACTCAACCCACCCCCTTAAGCTTCTTGCCTCTGTTAATCTAAGTGGCATGACTGTTCAGTTTTCACTTTTGACTTCTTTTATTCTTTGTCAAGTGTTTGAAAAGATTACTCTGGGGCAGGAATTTATTTAAAAAAAAAAAAGACTAAGTGCAGAATAACAGCAGAAAAGAATTAAGGGTGAACAGCCAGAAACCGTCACGGTCAAAACAGCAGTTACCAGATCTCCTCCTGAGATGCAGCAAGCATCCCTTTACATCCCTTTCATTCCACTCTGTAGTTGGTTGTTGGGGGAAAGGAGATGGAGCTGCAGGCAAACAATTGATGGTGCTTGTATGCAGAAAGAAGATGCAACTGCCATTCTTTACAGTAAAGTGCTACTCAGGTACTCCTTCAACCCTGGACACCACCCTGCCAAGTGAAGTTCATGTACCTAAGACCTGGTCCCAGCAACTGAACAAGTATGTTTTATTTGCAGAGCCCTAACAGAGAATGGGTCTTTGCAGAGACTTCTGCTTCCTGACCTCTGCTCTGGAGACTCTGTTAAGAGGACTAAGGAGCTCCAGTGATGGATCCCAGAGACCTGCTGACCACAGGATGATAATTTAAATGATTGAGGTAGAATCAGAGGTAGATTGAGGTAGAATCAAAGAAAGCACCCTAACAAGGGTTCGATTACAGGGATCTTAAAGATAGTATAAAAGTTTCTATCATCTTCATTAGATCAAAATACCATCCCAAGTATCTCATCAGAATGATCTTTCTGGGATTCTTCATCTGGAACTGGTCAGTATCATTCTGCTGCTTGATGTGATTTGCAAAGAAAAGAGGGAAAATAACAAGGAAATGCCTGTTGGTTAAAATGATTGATCCTTCACGTGAGTAGGTGATTCTGGGGAACAAAGTCCCATGACAGTAATCGTCGTGGGTTCAGGAAGACATAGATAATATATTTCTAATTAACAGCATGAGGTTCTGCAACATCAGAGCCTAAGGGATTCCCCAGCCGTGTTCCTGGGCTTCTGCAGCGGTATGAAGGGAAAGACGTACAGGGAACCCCATTCTAGCTTCGTGAAACGACACGGGGGGGGGGGGGGGGGACGCTCACGTCAAGAAAAGACCAAAAAACGCCCGAAAGCAGAGAAAGGCGAGTCTGCCACTGCCCTTCGGGGAGCGGGGCCGTTACCTGCTTGTTCCTGTAGAGCTGGGAGGACAGCTGGTCTCCCCGCCACGCCTCCTCCTGGCCAACGAGCTCGGGGGCGAAGAGCCGGCCTGTGCGACAGCACAGCGGGGTCAGACCGCTCCGGCCGGCCGGGTCTGGACCCCTCGCCCCCCGCCAGCGCTCACTTACCCGGCGGCCGCGCTTCCCGCCGGCCCTGGTCGTGCTCGGGCGGCTCCGCGGCGCAGACGGCGGCCCACGTCTCCTTGGAAACCCCGGCGGGGACGGGCCAGGGGCGAGCGCAGCCCTGGCCCCCGAGGAAGCCCGGCTCCGGGCACGGCCGGCTGCTGCTCTGCGGAAGCAAAGGGTCGTAGCGAAGGGGCGGCCGGCGGCTGAGACCCCATCCTCTGCGCGTACCGGGGGGGCGGGAGGCGGTGTCAGCCCTGCCCCGGCGCTCCCCCCCGGGCCAGCTGTGGTTCGCTCAGGTGCTCGGCGCAGGGAGCCCCTTGTGCCGCTCCGGGAGCCGGCCGCTTGCTCGCCCCCCTCCCGGCTGGCAGCGCCCCGCAGCCCCCCGCTACCGCCGCTGGGCACCGTGCGGTGCCGCCCCCGCGGCAGAGGGGCTCCAGGCAGAGGTGTGCCGAGAAGAGGGCTGAGTTTCCTGTGATCCCTTGGGAAATATTACTGTCCCGAGCGAGTTTTAGAGGAGGAGGGGAGCTAGGCTGTTCTTGGCCAGTCCTTTCCTCCCACCTCGTGGGATCGATTCGTCTCTAAAGCTGCACAATGTTAGCAGTCACCTCCAGGCTGCTTGCTCTACTCTGCCCCCGCGGTTCTACAGGAGTCCCAGACTGCACAGTAGCAGAGCCTGGGGTTGTTTCTTGAGTCACCCCCCTTCCCTCCTCCAAATAAGCACGACGGCGGAGCCTGGAGCCTCGAGAGGGGAAACTGCTCAGCCAAGGGGAGGCACAGCAGCAGAGATTGCTCCTGCAGGTGGTGAAGAGCCGTCTTCCTTCTCCATCTCAGAGGGCACAAAACCTCCTGCAAGCCCCCAAGGCAAAGAGACCAGCTGCTCCTTTTCTGCCTCCAGGTCGAGAGAAATGCAAAGAGCACTTACCATGTTAGTGGTAGAATGAAGTGCAGGTCTTGGGAGTACGTTTAAAGCCCCAGCGAGGTTTAAATGGCTCTGAAGGAGGGGGAGAGGGGGGAGACCGAGGAGGCGAGTTTAATCTAAAGGAGCTCCCAGTGACGCCTCAGAGCTCTCCTGAAACCCAGCAATCTGATTTGGTGCAAAGCTGTCAAACTTGTGACGTGAATAAACAGCAAACTTGCTGAAATCAAAGTCATTCTGGTCCCACAAATCAACACAAGGAAGGAGGGAAAAGAAAAGAAGGAGAGAAGGAAAAAAGCCTCCACACACTTCAGGACAGCACTGAGCTGGTGTGTCTGACTTTCACTCTGGGAAATGAGGAGGGATCCTGGGAAGCATCCCACATATTCAGAGCAAGGCTGCTGGCGTTTGCTGTTGTTGTGTTTGAGATTTTCTGTTTGTTTTGTTTTGTTTGTTTGTTTTTAATTTTGATTTATTTGCTTGATTTTAAAGCTTTGCTTGCAGCTGTAAAATCCAGCAGGAAGAAGCAAGTTTGACCAGCATGTCTGGCTAACGGAGTGGGTTTTCCATGGCTTCCCAGGGATGTGTAGAAGCAAACGTGATCCAAGCAGCTCTGTGAGCAGTTTTGATGAGGAAGAAGGTGCAGATTTCAGAACAACACAGTCTGCAATGACACTGAAACAGTCTCACTTTATAGAGAATCAGTTTGTTGTTAAGCCTCAGGCTTCCTGGAGGAAACCTGAGGATAAAAATGCAGTATAAATGGTGTAAAATTTACTATCACAACTGTAATATAGCAAAAGTCACATGCGGGTGTATGAAAGATTGTCTGCATACACAATCTGTTTAGAACTGACTCAAATCAATTCCATGACAATCAAAATCCATAAGTAGGCTTGAAATTGTCCCAGGGAAAACAACAGCAACAAAAAAGACAAAACAAAATCTGAGGATAGTCTGCACAGGGGTTGGTGTGAATAAAGCTACCAGCAGAGCAGTTGGTCAGTCGAAATCCTGCTCCTGTCATGGCTAGAGCTGTTGAAGGGAGGTAACCCAACCTGCTTGAGGATACAATCTGCAACCAGTCAAGGGTGAGGCTGAGCCAAAAGCAGGCCAGGCTGGCGTATGGGATGGCTTTTCATTCCCCCCCCCAGAGGATGCTTGGTGCTGTTACCGTATGAGCAAGGCTCAGGGACAATAAAAACCAAGAGGGCTGCTTGTCAACCATTCTTTTCTTACTGGCATACTTTCCTAGGTTGCTGCCCAAGGTAAACTGGCAGCAATGCCAAATTAAATCACTGCCATCACCTCCCTTGATTATGTTTTCTTCCAACTCAGATATTTTATAAAGGGCTCATGCTCCAGAGCCACACCACACCCGGCCTCTGGTCACCTGGCTACAGCAGCTTTCCAAACTCCAGCTCTGCATTCAATACACTCAGTAACTACTACAATATCCCACACTCTTTGGGTGCCAGTGCCTCTTCTGCTTGGCTGGAAGGACTCTAGCAAGGAACACAATCTCTATAAAATGCTTTCAAAGGGCATCAAAGTTCTGCACTACTGTTCTTAGTGTGTTTTACTCCCTTTTCCCCCTAGTCGGATGACTTGGAGGCCTCCTAGAGCACTGTGGAAGCGCAGGCTTCCCCACCTCAGGCGAGGATGGTGATCCCCAGGCCAGGAACGGCCTGTAGGCAGCAGGCAAAGCCAAGAGAGACTAGAGCTCAAGGCTGTGGGCACCCAACAGGAGCGGGCCTGATCCAGGCAGTCTTGAGGGCAGACAGCAAGCTCCTCAGAAGTGCTTCTTGAGGCACTAAGGCCCCATGGGGCCTCCTTGGCCCCAGCAGCCCCTTTGGACGCCGCAGCCCTGGCCTCAGGCGGCCCGAGAGAGCGGCCATCTTGGGGCAGCTCTAGAGACACACGAGCGCCGGCCCCGGCCATTGGGGGAGGCGATCGGTCCTAGTGACGTCATCACTACGCGCCAGCACAGCGGGGGGAGGAAGTGGTGGCTGCGCGGGGTGTTTCTGAGCGTCCTGCTTGGGCGCGGATCGTCGTGCCTCCACGTGGGCCTCTCTTGGCGTCTGCACGCGGCCTGGGGGCAATGTCCGGCCCTGAGGGGCAGGTGGAGAGGAGTCTGCAGTGGGGAATATGGTGGAGGGGGTGTCCCTGCATAAGGCTTGTCCCCTGTAGGCTCCCCGGTCATCCTTTTAGTCACAGACTGCCCCAAAGCAGACCAAGAGACGCAGAGTTTCCTTCCTGCTTTGCGGGTGTGGGGACAGGTGCTGCTGGTCCACAGCTGCTGCTAGATGGCCGTTTTCCTGGCACGGTGCTGGTGGCTGTGTCTCTGCTTCCTCTCAGCAGAACTTTATGCTCAGGCATGCTGTTTGCTTCTGAGAAGCGGAGTGACAAGTATGGACGCTCTCTTTGATTGAAAATGAGGTATGAAGTAAACCTGTGTTCACCCCATTGTTGCATCTGTGGAGCTGGCATCATATTGGTTTTTACTGTTGGCTTTTCTTTCACTGCTCAGATAATTCTTTTTGAGTCCCTGCGCTGTGAGAATTAAGGATGGTATGTGGGTAAAAGACACCGAAACAGAGCCTAGGTTCCCATAGGTTTGATGACTGACTTCCTGTCCAGGAAAGGTAAATGCAGTTGGTCTAAGAGGGAAAAAGCTAATTTTGCAAACTGGTGTGTGGATGTCACAAGTGATGATAGAAAAGCTTCAAGTCATGGCAGCAGTTACACATAAATATATTGTGTAAAACAAGACCCAGTAACAATCACTTGCTAATTCTACTGTTTGAGACAGCTGCTTGCTTTCAGGGCTCTTACTGCTTGTTGTAGTTAATCTTGCACTTCAGTTGCAAATAACATTCAAGGATGAAATGTTTATGAAGACTTTAGTATTACTGTTGGATTCAGTAGAGGTATGCTTATTGGTGTTCTAATATCTAGTATGTTCTTTAAATATGATTTTTTCTTATTGTAATGATGAAAGTAATCCTCCTGGGATCTTTATTATGTGACTCGTTTCTATGCAGAAATGGCTACAAAATTCCATTTGGATCTTTGTGAAAAGATGGTAAAGAGAAGAAACAGTATATTTGCATGTAGTTGAAGTCAGCTTTTATACCAGACTTACCTCTCTGTGTTACTTTTCATGCTAACACCTGCACAGGTGTGCAGACTCACTCCAAATCGCCTTCATTTATTCTGTCAAGTTGCTGCTGCAATGCTTCTCATCACTCTTAGGAATGATTGGTCCATCAGCAGCAAAATAAGGACTGACATAATATGCCCAGGTATTGATCAGATAATTAGGCACTTGAGTTATCTGGCGTTTGCAGGAATCTTTCCTGTTTTGAACTAAAGGTGTGATTAATTAAGCCTGTTGAGACTAATTTGCGAGAATGCTTTTTAATGGAATTTTATTCAGATAAAGGTCCTGATTATTTTCTGCTCAGTCTTCCTCCAGGAGCACAAGCCTGAAAGGCACTTCCCAAGTCCAGTCCCCCACTGTTTACTTTCGTAAACTTTCCAGTCCTGCTCTTAAAACTAATTAGGTTTGTTTCCTTATGTTGTTCCCACTGTGAGGCTACACCATACTTTCTGAGCTCTGACAGCTAGATGCTTTCTAGTCTCCAATCTGAATGTATTCATAGCAGATATAATCCCTTTTGTCCTTGTGCCAACATCTTGCTTTAGTTTAGGCAGTCCTCCGTAGTGTTTGTCCTTGATGTCTTTGCAAAGTGCTACCCATACTGTCTTTTCCTATGTTTTTTAGGTCAAATAAGGGAGGTTCTTTTATAGTTTTTTCATTGTATATACACCACAGGGACCATCTCAAAGGGTGTTCCAGCTGACGTTAACCTGTTTTTCAGATGAGTAACCACGATTAATCTGTCTGCTGTTTAATTTTAGAAAAAAGCATTGGGAAATCTTTTATTTTTTGCTGATACATTTTAAGCTGAACTTTGTTTTCCATTACTGTCTCCCATGAGTGACCTGTTGGAAATTACTGTCAACTGGCAGCATATCTACCTGTGGTCTTCATTTGTTGCAAATGCAGTTTGTCAGACTGAGCCCTCAGTGCTACTGGACCCAGTTCTTCTCCTTTGATACTATCTAGTACTGTGGCATTTCACGTGTACTTGGAAGCAATCAAATTCAAAAGGTAACTTCAGGGCTCTAAAAACCATAACAGTTTACCTGTAGTTAATCCTGGATTTTCTTACAGTGAGGGT